CTGGGCAATTGAGTAAGACTCTGCCTCAAAAATAAATAAGTAAATAAATAAAGCACTGATTCCTGCTTCCAAGCACTGGAGATTCAGATTTAATTATGATAAGGCCAAGATGTAAAGAGTTTACAGAACTTCCTAGGTGATTTAAGCATGCAGCCAAGTTAGAGAACCACTGGCCTTTGCCATACGTGAGATACAATGTGCTGTACCAGGACCAGAGAACAGAGTAGAAGAGGAATCCGGTGGTTTGAGAGCAAGCCCAGGAGTGTGACTGTCTGCATGGTGTGTGGGGTGAACAGGGAGGGTGCGCCTGGGATCCTTTTCCCCTCCCAGGCCCGTTTGTCTTCCTGGGTCATATTCCTCAGCGCTTCCTTAGTTCTCACCTGGATGCTTGTATTCTGCTTCCCCCTCGTGGTGACTTGCAGTATGGCACAGCTGTTGCTGACGGTTTCATTAGAGTTCCGCGTTTATCACTCACCTGTGACGGTGAGTCCCAGGCTGTGGTCTCGACAGGTGGGCTCATCCTAAGAATCATGTGCTGTGAGCATTTCGGCCACGTGACTTCAGGAATTACTTTCTCACAAGGAGTCTCAGAGTTAGAGGTCACTGGTCAAGCACTGGCCTGGTACAGGGCTGCAACTGGAGCCTCATGGACTCCTATGCATGAGGCAGGAGAACCGCTTGAACCCAGAAGGCAGAGGTTGCAGGTTCATTTTATTAGCCAATGGTTAAGTGGCTGTGAGAGCAATCATCAGAAGGTGCAGCAGTGGAAGATAACAAGCTTCCTAATACACAGTGGCCACCACTTAGATCTTTGTGGCAAGAATGGGTTTTATTTAATTATCACGTCTCATTCCAATGGCAAGCATAGAAGGTATTATTAGGGTTCCCATATTTTTTATTGTCAAATATTTTTATTGTAGATATGCATTACTAAGCCTTATTTTTTTAAAGACACTTAGCTATATAAAATAATATTCTTATTTGAGATGGGCATTTAGCAAAAATAAATAAAGTCACAGATTTAATATCCTCGTTAGTCATGAATAAATGTTTTAAAATTATGAGTGAGAAAGAACATTGACTAGAGAAAATGTTGCTACATCACTTTCAAAATAAGCATGTATTTTAAATAAACATGGTTTGTGGAAGAAGATTCTCATCTTACAGATAAGAAAACAAGCCTGGAGACCTTAAGACACTTGATAAAGGCCACACAGCAGGTGACAGATGCAGGGCTTGAACCCACATTGGCGGGACAGCACTGTCTGTATGTACAGCTCCTCCCACGTCCCCTGCAGGAGTCCAGGAGTTCTCGCCTGCCCAAGGGTTTGCAACAAAGATTTCACCTGAATCTCTGATTGAGTCTCTGTGGTTCCTCCAAGCTCCCCTAGTTCCTCTTTGTATAAGTCCATTTTCACACGGCTGATAAAGATAAACCCAAGACTGGGTAATTTATAAAGAAAAGAGGTTTTCTTTAGACTCACAGTTCTACATGGCTTGGGAGGCTACACAATCATGGTGGAAGGCAAGGAGGAACATCATATCCTACATGGTGGCAGGGAAGAGACAACTTGTGCAGGGAAACTCCTTTTTTTAATTATTATTATACTTTAAGTTCTGGGGTACATGTGCAGAATGTGCAAGTTTGTTACATATGTATACACGTGCCATGGTGGTTTGCTGCATCCATCACCCCGTCATCTACATTAGGTATTTCTCCTAATGCTATCCCTCCCCTATCCCCCAACCTCCTGCTATCCCTCCCCTAGCCCCCCACCCCACAACAGGCCACAGTGTATCATGGGGGAACTCCTTCTTATAGAACCATCAGATCTTGTGAGACTTACGATCACGGAAACAGCATGGGAACGACCTGCCTCCATGATTCAATTACCTCCCACTGGGTCCCTCCCATGACACATGGGAATTGTGGGAACTATAATTCAAGATGAGGTTTGAGTGGGGACACAGCCAAACCATGGCGCTCTTCTTTCTAATTTCACATTGACTCAGACTTTCTGCAGATCAGTCTGAAGACCTCATATTTGGGGGAGAATGCCCTTGCCCAATCCTGGCAGAAAACTTCTCTGCAGCTCATGCCCAGGGCTGGGTTGAGGGCAGATGAGGAAGAGTGCTAATGAGAGAAATGGGAAGCGTTTGAAGCACTGGTGCTCTGACCTGGCTGGTTCCTTTTCTTCTTCCCTGAAGCTCCTGCCCTCTGGGAGCCAGCTCCTGTCCACCCTACCCCAGTTACAACTGCTCCTGAAACTGGTGTGAACCAGAACCACTGGGGAGCTTGTTAGAATCCAGATCCCTTGGCTCCACCCTCAAAAATTCTGATTCAGGATAATCAAAAGCAGGACCCAGGAATCTGCATTTTAAGCAAACAACCCGTGTGAATTCTACTGCAGGTGGTCCTTGGAACACACATTGAGAAACAATCAATAGACATGCTTTTCTCATTCATGGGCCCAGGATCAAGAATATCAGTAAAGGTCCATAAGCTAAAAGTTCTCTATCATGGCTCATACCTGTAATCTCAGCACTATGGGAGGCTGAGGCGGGCGGATCATGAGGTCAGGAGTTCAAGACCAGCCTGGCCAACATAGTAAAACCCTGTCTCTACTAAAAATACAAAAAAATTAGCCTAGTGTGGTGGCCAGCACCCTGTAATCCCAACTACTTGAGAAACTGAGGCAGGAGAATTGCTTGAACCCAGGAGGTGAAGGTTGCCGTGGGGTGAGATTGGGCCATTGCACTCCAGCCTAGGCGACAGTGTGAGATTCCAACTCGGGGGAAAAAAAAAAGTTATCTACCAAGTGACTAAACTGTCAAATATATATACATAACTATATGGCAGGCAAGAATTCCTGGGCTCTAGAGCCCAAGCCAGAAGGTAATGGGACAGCAAGAGCTAACCCCAGCCCCCATCCTTACCCCTCCTCTTCCCACTTTGTGCCTTGAGGAACTTGCTGCGTGAGTGAGAGGATGTACCATCTGTAAATTCAAACACAGGGACTCTCTTTCCACCCTGTAACAGCTGCATCTTGACCATCTGTTGGGCTAGGATGGACCCCAGAGAGGAGACTGGCATTGACTCTGGAAGCAGAAAATTCCCAGGCACTCAGAGCATGGCCTAGACGGGGAAGTGGTTCCAGGAGTATGCATGCCCTTGACCTTGCAGACTGCCTGCACTGAGGGGAGGGGCAGCAGAGGACGGCCAGAGAAGAGCCCACTAAGCCAGGACGTCTCCAAGATTCATGGGAATAGAAATTTCCTGGGATCTGAATCAGTAGGTCTAGGGCAGGGACCAAGATTCTGTGTTTCTAACAGCCTCCCAAGTAAAGCCGGTGAGGCTGGTCTTCAGACCATAGAGTGAAGCAGCAAAGCTGTAAAGCAGGGGTCAGCACCAGGTAGGAAACTTCTGGGTTCTGAGGGCCATGTGGTTTTGTGGCAATTATTCAACTGTGCTGTTGGGCATGAGAGCAGTCACAGGTGACACTTAAGTGAATGAGCATGAAAACTTCATTTGCGAACACTAAACTTGGAGTTTCAGATAATCTTCATACATTGCAAAATATTCTTCTTTTGGGTTCTTTCAATTATTTAAAAATGTAAAAACTCGATCAGGTGGCTGGGCATGGTGGCTCACGCCTGTAATCATAGTACTTTGGGAGGCCAAGGTGGGTGGATCACCTGAAGTCAGGAGATCGAGACCAGCCTGACCAACATGGTGAAACACTGTCTCTACTAAAAATAAAAAAAATTAGCTGGGCATGGTGGAACACGCTTGTAATCCCAGCTACTTGAGAGGCTGAGGCAGGAGAATTGCTTAAACTCAGGAGGCGGAGGTTGCAGTGAGCTGAGATCATGCCATAAATCACACCACTGCATGCCAGCCTGGGTAACAAGAGCAAAGCTCCATCTCAAAAATAAATAAATAAGCAAGCCCATTAAACATCCACAAATTTAATCACGCCTGTAATCATAGTACTTTGGGAAGCCATTGGTCACTCAATATGATCTTCCCCAGGAAGGGTGTGCTATGGTCTGAACATTTGTGTCCCTCCAAAACTCATGTTAAAATCCTAACCCCCAAGGTGACAGTATTGGGATGCAGGGCCTTTGGGAGGTGATTAGGTCACAAGGATGGAGCCCTAGTGATGGTATTAATGCCCTTATAGAAGAGATCCCAGAAAAGTCCCTTGCACCTTTCACCCTGTGAGGTTACAGTGATAAGACACTATCTATGAGTTAGGAAGCCAACCTTCACCAGACATCAAATTTGCTGGTACCTTGACTTTGGACTTCCCAGTCTCCAGAATTGTGAGAAATACATTTCTGTTGTTTATGAACTGCTTAGTCTCTGGTATTATGGCAGCCCCAAAGGACTAAGATGAGGCAGGACTCAGGTGAGGCAGCTCTTTGCAGCTCAGGCACTTTCTGAGAGGGCTAAAAGCTACAGCCTGGGTGCAGCAGCACTACCAGCAGCTGGGGCCTGATGTCCTTCACTGTCCTTTCTGGGCAGCGTATCACAGTATCCAGTGCACACCACCCAACTATGGCTATCATTCTGTTCAGATACTTCTTGACTCGTTGTTCTACTTCTAATGTGTTCCATGTAGAATCTATCCTAAACACTACCTCCCTAATCTTCCTTAAAGGAAAATATTTGTAAAATATTTCATAATATGTAATTATGAATAATTTTGTATGTCATTCCCCTGAAAAGAGGTGTCACAAGGTCAAGCTTTTTCAGTTAGGTAGGAAATGTAAGTGTGGAAAGAAGCAGGGTGTGGCCAGGTGCAGTGGATCACGCCTGTAATCCCAGGACTCTGGGAAGCCAAGATGGGCAGATTACTTGAGGTGAGGAGTTCGAGACCAGCCTGGCCAACATGGTGAAACCCCGTCTCTACTAAAAATACAAAAAAAATTTAGCCAGGCATGGTGGTGAGCACCTGTAGTCCCAGCTACTCGGGAGGTTGAGGCACAAGAATCGCTTGGACTTGGGAGGCAGAGATTGCAGTGA